AAACACAAGACAGCAATACAACAAAACAGATAATTGTGACGTTCTGAAATATTTATTTTGAGCCCATCCAAAAAAATGTCCAGTGTGCCAGTTCACCAGTCATGAACAAAAAAAGGTGATGTGCAACACAGCTGCTCATCATCTTTTGCTTGTAGGTGTGCCAGTCTCGTCAGGAGCCAGGGATGCCATAAATGTGTTTGATGGTGATTTCATTAAGCATTCATTCTGAAGAACAGAACGCCCTTTGGTGTGGATTTTGGGTTTAGTCATTTTGCAGCCCTTTGGATGCACAAAAGCTATATAACACCCCAAAAAGAAGGCAGGGCCCTAAAAGCACATGATTTTGTACGTTTTTTAATAACCATAATTGTGCTATTGGAAGGACTTGCCATCATGCACAATGCCACAAGTACATGGAGCATCTCTAAATGCATGTTTAAAAAGTTTGATTGGTTGCTTTCATACCATATTCTCGTTTCTGAGTTCATATGTAAAGACATTTGATTCTCATGAAGGTGAAAAGTTGGAGTGTCAGCATTATTATACACTACCTTTAAGGTCACATAAAAGATATGTATCTGTACAATAGCTTAGTGTCCCACCTGTCTGATAAAACGAACCTGCTCAGTGGTTGGTTGAAAATAACAGATCGTATGTCTATGAATGATTGAATGTGACAGCAAGCATGACAATGTTTCATACAATAAAAGACACCATGCAATTTAAGCTTAATCTAAGATTAATTTGCCATTGAATAGGACTTCTTTAAATATGTAAACATGTCCAAAGTTATAATATGAGCAGAATATTCAAGTTTAAGCCCTGTGATTATGCTTGGTGCAGAATGGGCTTAGCTACACCTAAGCTTCCTTTGCTCTGACAAAGCATTAAATGATCCATGTTAATACCTTTTGCATTAGTTATACAGTCTGGGTCTAAATACTAAAGCTGCAAAATGTCACAAAAGGAACATAAAGATCTCATAGTGAAAAAATGGGACAGCCCCTTAAGCTCTCATGCCAAAAAAAAGTAAAACATCAGTTTATTAAAAGCTGAGATCTGTAAAGAAATAGCTGAGAACTGAATTCAAATAAAGAGCTATTAAGTAAGAAAATTATAAATCAATTAAGAAAATAAATAACAGGCAACATATATGAATTTAATCAGATGTACAATCTCATATAATGCAATTGAAAATCCCGCACAGGAAATAAAAAGTTTGCCATGTTTTAATAAAAGTATTGATAAACAGTCACAAACTCATCTAGGAAGTGAAATATGAAAATAATCAAACAACTTTATACAGGCAGTTCCATGAAAATGTAAATACAATAATACCTAAATGAAAATTTAATCAACCTGGATGTAGTTCTGTTTACTGAAATATTTTTTTATCTTTCAAGCAGATTTTCTTTTTAATTATGGCTTTTTAAACTTAAAAACCATCTGTTTTTCTTAAATTGTGTTCTACTTTATCGTAGCTGTTTTTCTTATTAGGTTTTCTTGTGAGTTATGTTGGTTCTATTATTGTGTTGGCATCTCAGGTTCTTACAAGTACCATTTAGTTCTTTTCAACATCTATACCGGGTTATTGGCAACCTTAAAGAAATGCTTCAGTTTTTTAATGATCTTGCAATTAAGAGTAGTCAGAATCAATTTAGTACATTTTGCAGGGTTGTAGTTTGACAGGTTGTTTTTCTTTATTTTTTTCATGTGTATGTAGATGGCAAGAAATCTATAGGTTTTGTAAGTCCCTCTAGGGGGATATAGCCTACTATTCAGCTATCTGATTATTCAGACTGCGAGGAGTTTGACTGCTTGCCACTGCAAAAAAGTTTATTCAACTAAAAAAACTCATTTTAAAAGACCTGAATAAACATCCGCCCTCTGAGATTTGTTTTCTTGAGAAATTCTTTGCCAGGTATATCTACATACCTGGCAAATACCTAAACTGAACTTTTCAAACTTAAAGACTGATATCTACAGATAAATCATTGTCCGACTCTGATGTGTTTACTGCTGTCGTTCCAGCTCAAAAGTAAAGAAAAAACGCATCTCCATTTTTTTCAAACAAATATTATAGTCCTTGTAGTACTTGAAATGATAGCATTTCTATCAAACAGCACAGTGTAATTTCATATAGTTTTAGTAAGATTGTGAAAAAAGTTTTCTTGGCATAATACAAGTTTTGACATAACACAGAATTATCTGGACAGTTTTTGCTTTGACTTTTGTACCTGTGGTGATTTCCACCTGAAATAATATATTATTCAGACAAAATGTCATAGGGGAAAAACCAAGACATCCATATAAACATACACTTTAATAAAAAAGTACACCACCATATTGTGAATTTGGTTGGCACTACCTTTTAAAAATGAGAGCGATGACAAAGTCAGGGTTGACTCTGATTCTCCAGTCACACTCTTTCCCAGGAGGGTATGGCTGGGGGTAGTTAGGAGACAGAATCACACCAGAGGAGCCGCTGACGTTACCCCCACAGGTCGCTGGAATGAGGGAGAAAGTGGGAGGCATTAACGATAAAGCATTAGGTTCGGTGTTATTTGGAAACATAACAACTCCTGATTGACCACTTATTTAACCCCCACAGGTCAGCAGGGTGGAAACAAGTTATTTAGTAATCAGAAATTTGGCAGAGGCTGTTTAGGGGAGAGAAAATACCCCCTTGCAGACAGTTATATCCCCGTCAAGTGGCTGTATATGGTGAAAATGAAAAATAAATAAATGGTGATCATATTTAGTTATAAAGTATGGGGCTGAAGAAAAATCTCTCCAAGCAGTCTTATTTGCCCATATCAAGCATGAGAGAGAGGAAGAAATCTTGGCGAGAGAGACACAAAGATGAATTGAAGCAGCAATTTGGTGGTGTGAAGGTAGAGTTTGAAACATGCAGAGGTGTCTTTGGGGGTGGCAGGGGTGTGTGAACGGATTATCTTCAGTGAAATGGAGGTAAACAAAGGTATTAACGGTTGCAAATCACTCACAGACAGACACAAAAATACAATGGTTTAGAATGTTGTGCATTGTGTTGTGTGACGTGTTTAATCTTCTAAGCTTTTTAACGTGTGGAATTCACCTCCTGGGGTGAAAATACAGGGAAGGGAAGCAGGACAAGAAACCTAATGGAGATTTAAGCAGTAGCAAAATACAATGAGGAGGCTATTTGGTCCAGTGTTGTATGCTGGCAGAGGGACAACATCCTACATGGTGAAGTTTCCCCAGATGGGTAATTGTTTTTGTTCATTTTATTCACATTGCATCTTCAGCTATGGATGTCTTTGTATAAACTGAACTGCAACATATTTGGAATCTTTTTAGAATAATTCGAAAACAACGAGGCAAGAAAACTTAATTCAGCAATTATTCAGGAAATACCCTCTCTCCATTTTGCTTCCATAAAAAAGTCAGTCACCTGCTGAAGCAGCACAAATGTTAGGTTAAAAGTGTAGGGAGAGGAATCTGGATATGTGCCATAGCTTTTTCCCTGGCTTTAAAATGCAGATTAGTGGATTTCATGTGTGGAAACGTGGTCTGTGTAACAGATTGTTTCTGTTGCTGCACTGATTCAGCTACCACTGTATTTTATGATTAAAACTAAAAAAGTTAAGTTGCAGTTCTCCAGGTCACTTCCATTCTCCGCAGAGGAAGTCAGGAATAACCTGCTGATGGACACAACGGAAGCACAGAACAGCTGAAAAACAAAATCCAGCAGGAGGGTGTAAATAAACAGGGGTGAGGCGTTGCAGGAGCTCTTTGGGCTGCAAAAAGAAAGAGTGGGCCAGATGGTTGTGGTAATGCAGAAAGGAGAAAAAGCAAACAACTTTAAGAACCATTCACAGCTTATTCTATCACTCTGTGTTGGTACATCCATGTCTTACCACCATTTTTCCTTATGAACACCCGCCCGTCTATATCATTTTACATATATCAGCATAATTCCTCCATGTGGAGTCTGTTATCATGGGATTAATTCACATAAGCAAACAGTACACAATGAACTCTATTTAAAATCTAAAGCCAATTTCAAATATTTTTTCACATTTTGATCTTTAACATAAAAGGGTATCATTGGTCTACAGTCATAGATTTGATCACAATTAATTCAACCTCTAGCAGCTCTGAGACAGTTGTACACGTACCTATACATGTTGGAGGGTCGGGTTGCCAGTAGAATCTGTTATCCATCCGCACACATGTAATGGTATCATGGCCTTGCAACTGATAACCTGGATCACACTGGAATGTCATGCTGTCTCCTGGCTCTTTACTGTCACCGTACCGAGAACCGTTCACAGGGATACCAGGGTCGTTGCAGGTTGTGGCTGTTGTAGCTGGAGAATGATAACGAAAGACAAAATATATAAATGTACTCATGGTTCACAGAAAGAAAAGCAGTGGAAGTAGATTAACTCAAAACAGCTCATGTAAGCCATGTGGTGGCACATTTACCCTAATGAAGTCAGTTTGCCTACATGGCAGACTACTTAGACTTTAGACATTATTATACTGGCAATGTGTGACAAAATAATTTTCCTCGGAATCAAATTAGCTCCCCCTGAACAGTTGTTGATGTGGTTGTGGCTTACAGAAAATACTTTTTTTTAAATTTTATGTTATATTGTTGCATGTGCATTGTAAAATTGTGCTGTGTGATAACACGATTTCTACATGGTCAAGATTTTGTTTAGTATACCCAAAAAACATTTGCAGCTTTTAAAAGCCCAAATGATCAGTACCCTTCATTAGGGAAAGTGGTTTGGAATTTCTAACATAATTTCTATATCATGTTGCCCAGCCAAACTGAGTAATTAGTGATAAAGAGATTTGGTCAGACATGTAGGGAGTGGTTAACCCTACAGATGGACAACCGACAGTCAGCCGGCAGTCAAATTTTTTTTCTATTAGAGTGGCCAGACAGAAGCTTATCGCTGGCCATTTGCCAAAATGCATGATGATAACTGTTCACGTGGGGCGAAGACTGACCGAAATAACCACAATTCCAAACAAGCGAGGAAATCAGGCACAGAGCATTACCTCATTGATATTTACAGAAATCCCTACGGCATCAGTATCATTCTGTCGGGATGTTTTTCCTAGACATGTGTGACACAGACCGGACACAGAACAGCACAGAGAGCATACCCTGGTGTGTGTGTGTTTTTTTTTTTACCTGACTGATCAAGACTGCAGGTCAGAATCAAGATTTAGTGATTTCATTCCCGTGACGCTTAATACTTGACTGTTTTTAGGGTGCACAGATGGAATGAGCGCTTTGCACATTCGACAGGGCAGCAGAGGTTGTCACACAACTGAATCAACACATCTGTTTTGGGACTGCTGACCTGCCGTGTAACGCCACACTCTAACCAACGACGCCGCTGTGAACTGGCTTAGTGGGCAACAGCAGCTTGTTATTCATCAGCAACTCTGTTGAGTGAGTATTAAAGATCAAAGTACAACTGATGCTTAATTAGGACAAACTATTTGTGCCAATACAGAATGACCGCTATGCGTAAAGGGGGAAGAGAGCAAAGACCAAAATCATATACTTAAGCCACAAAGTCTATGTTTGCATTCTTAGTCTGGACCCTGTTTGGTGCCTTGGCCTGAAAGCAGTAGAGCACCTCTGGAGAGACCTGAACATTTATGAAAATGTAATGTTTCCGTTGGTGTTTTGCAGCTCATCTGTCTGAACTCAAACATGCTTGCCAAGATGAATGCAAAAAACTTCTAAACAAAGGGTTTGCCAAGCCATCAGTCCCAAAGCACCTGCCGCCTCTGCCACCAAAGTCAAACCAAGGACTTATTTTGAGGTCTGAATGCTTTAGCAAATTGAACATTTCAGTCTTTCATTTTTGCTGCATTCCTCTTCATTCCCAGTGGCCCTGCAGTGGCAGTCAGAGTAAGCTCCTACTTCTTGATTGTTTTCACAGACTATATTTTTAAAGGTAAAGGCATTCTTTGAGGATGACAGACAAATCAGCACGTAATAATATTTAAATCAATAGTTTGAGACAAATTCAAATAAATGTATGTCAATGAAGGCCCAAGATCTATGACACTGTTTTCAATGCATTTTATATTGCAATTTGTGTTCCAAGTGAGGATGTGCTTTAATTACATTTGTACAACTTCAAAACATTTCTTTTGTGGTTTTTATGTAATCATTTGGGAACAATATTACTATGGGCAAGGCTAATTAATACTATTGTTAATCAAGGTGCCTAGAAGAAGAGTGAACTGGGATACGACATTTTGCCGAAAGAAAATGCCACCAGAACATTTGTGCATGCAAGCTGGACTGAAATCTAACCACACTGAGATCTCTTTACAAAAAGTTCAACAGCTGGTATATGCCTAAACATACCATTAGAATCTTGTGCTGTATTCTTTGACATAATCTACACTTTTGTCATGAGGTACTGTTAAATGAGAGAAATTTGTAGTGATGTCATCTCTGCACAATGAATCCAGGAACCTTATTTTCCATTTAACGAGTGCACTGTTTTAGTGAATCAACATGGAGACACTGTGAATATAATGAGTCATTACCATAATAATTGAATAACAGCGCTTTGATTAGCATCTTAGACAGTGTAAATATTTCTTGTTGTTAACAGGAGGTGTAGTGACAAAAAAATAAGCAGTGGACGGAAATATTCAGGACATGTTTAATGATCACACTTAAATATATATATGTATATATAATCAGAATCTGTCAGATTGTGAGTGTGTGTTTTAACTAAAATACAGACATGGTTGGAAAGCTAACTTTCCTTAATGAAAGAAATAAGACATGATTTCCAATCCATCTGTCACCTGTGTAAGCTGCATGTTAAATCTTTCAATCTATTTCTTTTTTTTATTTCTTTAGAACTTTCAGTGAAAGTGTGCTTGAAATTCAGACGAGGCAATAAATTGAAGAGCACACAGAAAGGACACAGCATTGGAGTGGAAGGCTTGGAAGTTTAATTCCTATGTTTTAGAGTAAAATAGTTATGTCATATTATTTTTCAACTTCAGTCCAGTTTTTTCTGTTTTTAGGTAAAGGACCTTTTCACAAAAAATATCCATTTGACACAAAGCTTGTTTGACAGGGAGCGCTGAGGGCGAACCTCTTGTCATGTGCATCTGTTTCCACACACTTCACTAGACATCACAATATCAGCTGTTGGATTTTTTTCAAAGAATTTCAGAAGTACTACACATTTCCCATTGACCGGTAATAGGTTGTATTTAGTGCACTCATACTGAACCTGGATCCCAAGGTTAGATATTAAATGTCTTGCTCCATTAATTTGTAAGAGGCAGACATTTTTTGGGGGATGAAATGTTGAAGTCAAACTGAATATCCTTTTGCTGTTATTAATGAGGTTTTTATAATAACAAGAAAAACTGTAGTTTTCTATCTTGCCCATTCATTTACTAACATAGTAATTGGCTTTCTTTATAAATAGATAAGTGGTGTAAAGTAGGACAGTCCACTAAAATGAGCGATTTAGAAGAATAATGTTAATTTTTTTTCTTATCTTGGAGATGAAAAATGAATTTGAATGCACTGGGGTAATTCTGGTTGAGACATGAAGATACTTACTAGAAAACTGGATAGAAAACCCTTGCTTGCTGATGAAGTAATCAGAATCGAACTGCAGCGTGAGTATGTTAAAGGTTGAGTGGATATCTTCGGGTAAGGCTGGGCCAGACCATTCTTTTAGGAGGATCCCACCGTCTGAAGGGCCAGACGGACCATCCCAAACTCTCAGAATATCATGGTCGACCTCAGTGTCAAAGACAATAAAGTGAAGGCTGGAAAAACAAAACAAAAAATGAAGCCAGTTTTTTAACAACAGTAGCAGCAGTAACTATACAGCAGATAACTCGACCCACGGCTGAGAACACACACACCACAAACTGACACACATGGAGGTACACAAAGCTGTCAGCAGTTGCCACAGTGCGATGACTAATGTGGTGGGCTTTTAAACACAGCAGTGGCTCTAACACAAAGCATTTATCATTAAGGATCACTAATAAGTAAAGATATCACAACAAAATACTTTATTAGTTTTTCTTTTTACTCTTCAGGATGCTGCTACTATTGAAAAGGTGAACAGCCAGTAGGCAGACACAACAAATCAACGAAGCAGTAGTTTTCTTTCAAACACCATTCTTCTTACTCTGCAGGATCATTTTTCTAGGATAGTAGGATACAATACTGATAACTTTTGTGTGAATGAATTCTGATCAGTAGTCTAGTTAGAGTTATATCTAAATGTCTTGAGGTTACCTGATAGTTTTGCCGGCATCCGCCTCTATCGTCCAGGTACAATGAAGGTTGTTGTCATATGGAGCAGGGTATCCAGGAGATAAAATGCGTCCAGACACAGCTCCAGAGATGTGACCTCCACATTCAGCTAAAAGGACATGGGGAAAAGGAAGGCACAAATCAGAGGCCAGCCCAATGCAGGATTTCAGGATGCAACAATTTGCTAAACCTGTTACCAACGAACAAAAGGAGATATCATTGTTGATGCATTGTTGAGTACCCTGGCCGTGCCGCAAAACATACTTGTGTTCCCCTAGTGCTTGTTCCTATCATGGCTTCAAATTTACTGTGAATTTTGGACCCTGAATGTAAGCCGTACTCAGTTACTATAAAAAAATTTAAAAAATGTACAGGCTGCACCTGTGTCCATATGTGGTAATGTGATATTTACACATATTTTTTTTTTTACTTTTAATTAGATACATACTGGTAACAAACACAAATACAGTGGGGTGCAAAGATTTTTAAAGGGCAGGGGCAGAAAGAAAAACAAAAGGACCCATATGGTGTGTTCTCACCGCTGTAGAGGGCACTTTAGACATGTTTTATATCTTCCCAAGAGGGCACTTGAGGGCAGTTTAGTACGCGTTTTGGTTCCCAAGAGGGCAATTTAGCACATGTTTTGGATCCCAAGAGGACACTTGAAGGCATAATGACCAAAATAGTAAAACAAATATGCAATGTGATGTTCACTGACTGTACTAGTATGAAATAAATCCAATAAATGAGCACATACATAGACAGATACAGTAGGTACATCCATGCACACAATTATGCACCAAATACCTCATTGCTGAATTGATAGAAATTCATATTGTGTTTATCCTCCTCTTTCATTCACACTGACAATAAATTCCTCCAGATTTCCTTTTGAAGGATTATCTGCTTTTAATACGTGGCTTTTGATTATTTGTTGGAATGTCTTTGGCAATAATTGAAAACATAAGTGTTTTTATGGTTGGGTTGGGATAAATAATTTACGGGCATTGAATCCATCTACACACACCGCAGTATAACTTATTTTTAAATCTCCCTGTAGCTCACTTGCACACTGATTGGATCTGATTGAGTTCAAGCCCCTTTTTCATAAGATGCTTTCTATCACATTCTCCTGTCTTCATTGCAAACCTTATAAAGATTGTTTGTATGTATTTGCTGAATTTTTGCTATTGTACACACACGCACACACACACACACATATATATATATATATGAACATTTATGACCATTTTTGGTCATTTGTGGTAGTTCTCCCTTGATATTTATGCAACTAGGTGCAGATGTGAGTGCAACAGAGGAGAAAGGGAGGAAGATTGTCAGAGAGGCAGAGAAAGGTTGCTATAGAAGTAATTCAATTAGGGCTCTCTCTGCAAGTATCCCCTTTGTTCCTGGATTACCTGAAATAAGGCACCCAAAAATTAATGACTTACTGCTCATATACACTCAGTTTTACCCTCATCCAGACAGCACGCATATCCTTTCATACTCACACTCATCTAATTGCTAATTTATAAATCCAGTCGTTATTCATCTTTCCAAAAGCAACTAAACCAGGATCAGACCCAGCTTTTATCACTTAAGTGCACTCGCATGTTACTAAGAATCCTATCTAAGCTCTTAAACATGAGGTGTATAGATATGTGTCTGTATATACCCTGCAAGTTTTTTTTGCTTAAAAAAAATACAGGCTCCAAAAATGAATGGACTAACCTTGTGGATTTGAAAATGCTAATTTTCTTTCAGATTTTTAAAGATAGTTAGAGCAACACAAATTCATATGAATTTGTGCATTACTGGTGGTGGCTCAGTGATAATAAAGATTGTGACTAGTCAACTGCGCATGCTGTAATTAAAACACAAAACAACTCTCATAGGTCAATACTCATAGGAAAGAAAAAAAAACTCCTAAAGCTAAAGCTGAATCATTTGACATACTTCTCTCAAAATCTAATTAAGTGAAGCCAAGTGCCAGCTAAAGTTAAATCTAGCCTCTGGCAGCTAATCAATCTGAAAAGCTCGAAAATATATTTTACTGTAGAAAGATGGTATTGATTGCACAGCAGAAGTCATATGGTGCCTTATTAGTACATTATGTTTCCAGTCAGCTATCACAGATTATGTCTCAACAATTTTTTCTCTGTATTCTTGGCAAAAAAATTATTATAGTATGAAATAAAGTTACCTGATAGCAAATGTTTGTGTTGGCCAAAACAAGAATATTAATCATGGATTACATAAAAAGGTAAATCAGGTAAATAATGTTTCATTTGGTTTTAACTGAATTTGTTAGAGAGGCAACACATTTTGTTGAACCTTACTCAGTTTGTTTTTAATTTTCGGTCTCTCATGACGGGATTCACTATATGCTCTGTATGTTGACAAGAAAATGGCCATCTGTGACTCAAAGCCTTGAGCATAAAGCAGTGCAAATCAAAACCCAAACACCGTGCTAGATTACACAATTTATGCCTTGCAACAACCTGTTGTCAAAGTGCAGATGGCCTGTTCACAGATGGAGCAGAGGGGCCAGCTTTTGCACATGGAGGTGTATGAGCTAAGCTAGACATGTCTCCCAGAGTGTAGAATCAGTCCACACAAGCTTTTCAAAATATTCTCCTGTGCTGACTGACGTTTTTCTTCCAGTCATAACGCAGCAACGTAAAAACAGAATATTCTACCTTTGAGTGCTTAGTCTCCAAGATAAATTCTTTGTGAACTACTTTTAGAGAAAGAAAAAGAAATACTGATTGACAAGGAAACATGCATTTTTGCAGGACTACTAACCAACACAAGAAGGAAGTGGCGTGTCCCAGACACGCCTGTCACCACTGAGACAAGTCAGTGTACTGCTGCCGTGGAGACTGTATCCAGGGTTGCAGGAGTACAGAACAAAGGTGCTGGCATAATGGCCGTCATCCTGGATTTTATATCCATAATTAGGGATACCAGGCTCCTCGCAGCGGACTAGGTCAAAACCTAAAAAGAGAGGCACATGTAAAGAGAAACTTACACATCGACACACACAGGTATGCACACACATAAAGATTAGGTTTACATGCCCATGCATAAATGAACAAAATGATCCAGTCCTGGACAGGAGAAGATAAGGTCAGTCTATTCTCCTGGATCCCTCACCCCCCTGCAGAAGTTCTGAATTTGAACATATTGTGAATGCTGAAAACATCCACAACTGCAATGATAGCTGTATAACAATTCTACAGCTTCTATCGATATGCTTATTTCAGAGGGAAAAAAAGAAAAAGAAAAAAATTGCATTGGCCTCTCCCTATTATGAAAGTCATTGTACAAGTGATGGTTCTAAGGAGCTCCAAAAGTTTGTGTTTACAGACTGAGAATGTGCTCCCTGAAAAACTGTGCAAATCCATCAAACGATTTATGTTTCACATGCAACACAAATACCTTGTGAAGATAACAAAAGGCATATAACATTCTCACTTAAAAGGCAGGGGGGAAAACAAGGATTTTCGGCAACATGTATTCTGTGAATGTTGACCTCCCATGGTACGAGAAGAAGATCCTTAATGTTAAATAAACCGTTACAAAGGTTTCAGCTCTGTCTCCAGCATGTAAAAAGACTTATCATGGCAACCTTTGAGCTAACCTGCCTCAATAAACCACAGTGCAAGTTCTATCAGAATTGTACGCACAGAAAGTTAGAATATCTCCAGTCGTAAATGCCATCAATAAATCAAATTTACACAGGGTACATATCTGAACAGCCGTTTAGTGCAGTAAAGTTTGCATGTGCCTTTAAATGTCAACCCTGTCCAACCATTAAACAGGTCAATCTAATTTCTGTACACACTATACATGTATACATATACATACTATATATATAGAAAAATATTCCTATGATGCCCTCTTTGACTTACACAGCAGGTTTTGCCTACCTAACAGTCTTTCTTACAAGCTATTTAGAAGGAGCAGGTCTATATGTGTGTGTCTGTTGGACCGAAAGGGAACCAGTTTAAAATATTCATATGCTCATTTTGTTTTCTGGCTTGCTAACTTTTTTTTTTTTTTTAAATCCTTAGAAAAACAGTTGTTGGTCTCAATCCAGCTCTGAAATATGAAAGGACTGTGGAAGACTGGTGTTTTACTCAACACCTGTTTTGTTTTGATATAGATAGAAGCACTCAAAGATCACTTGACAGTGACACTTGACACAGCGCAGATGCAAGGAGTATCCAAGAGGGCAATCTACCACACTTACAACCACTCTAGATTTCAATTAAAACATCTCATCAGAAGAACCTTCATAATGCTTTTCTAAGTGCACAGCAAACTCCTCTGTGTGTGCACGTGAAAACCTGTGTATATTAGAGGAAATCTGTAAGGGAAGACATATTTGGACAAGCAACAAAGAGCTTTGTAAACCATGGTTGTGAACAGGACGTAGAGGTGTAAAACTAGAAGTGTTGCTGCTTTGCTTTACATGAGTTCAAGTCCATTACTCACTTGTGTAAGTGAGCCGGAAGCCCTGATTGGTTCCAGAGGCATTGCTATTGAACTCCAGCCACAGGTGATTGGACGTGCTATTGATGACATGATCCATCATGCCATCAAGTGTAAAGTTGCCAAGGAGACGGGATGAAGTGTTCACTCCATCATACACCTATTGATCAAAAACACAGAATCAGAGATTCAGAACATGAATAACACATGACTGAAAACCATTTTCTTTGCTTTGTATCCCACTGGATATTGCAAAGTACCTCAATAAAAAGGTTACTCTGTTTGAAATACGTGTTTAGATATATACTTCCAATATAACAAATTGACAGAGCAAAAAATGTTGTACTTTTAATGTGGTGCTTTAATCTTTTTATGGTGCCTATGGTAAAGAGCAGGGGCTGTGTTTGGGAAAAGCTATGACCATACTAAAAGAGAGGAGTCTACTACTCTCAATGACAAAAATAAAAAACTGTTTATTCTCATTAAAGAATGTCTCCACCTGGGTTGGTGTTGTTATATTTTGCCAATATTTTCATATTTTGTTAATATTTTATTCATATTTTGTTTATGTTAAAAAAAAGAATGATGAATTTATTTTACAGAGGAATTCATTTGGGAAAACAAATGTGTACTTCCAATAAATGTTCATCAAAGCCAAAAGCACCAATGCTCTTTACAGTTAACTGAGCATAGGGCATAGTGCATCGCATTCTTGAAGATAAATTAAAAGAAATCAGTGAAGACAGGACAGATCATCATTGGGAACATAAAAAGGGGCTAAAGTAAATGTGATGGACTCAGCCATTTATATTTGCCTTGGTCTTCTTTTTTGGAATGTAGACATAGATTGCAATTATACAATCACAAATACAAAAAAAATAAAAAAGTCATCGTTTTCCAGTAAGCATTGGAAGAACAGGTTGGTAGAATCAGTGGAGACCAAGAGTCCAACATGACTAGACTGAAGTATCAAGACCTGATGTGCATAACCAAGACTGTATAGTGTATCTTTAGTAGATGAATATGGAGTCAGGGTTATTTCCAAAGTAAACTAGTTTTGTTGTGTGGAAAAAAAAGTGTTTAAATAGGTAGAAAATGGCATTTTAATGGCGATTAAACAAAGCAATATTTTCTAGTGGCAAGTGCATGAATTTTCTTTTCACATTAATTCATTTATCTATTTAGTCTTTCACATGAAGTGAGATAGGAGATGGATACCTGAATAGAGAAATCTTCAGCAAAGAAGGTAACAGAATTACACCTTATGTTTTTTTTCTCATTATAACTTTAAGCTTAGGTGTTATAAATGTTCATTTTTAATGAGCATTTTGTATAACTGTCTCAAACCTTGGATAGAAATGTTAACTGTTCTTTCTGGAGCTGATCATGCTTACATCTGGGTGCCTGTGACATTTTCACAGATTGGTTGTGACAGGTCTGCAGGTGGCAGAAATGCCATAAAAATTGGCTACGGCAATCTAGTGTTTTATCATTATAAGTATTACCAGTGAGAGGACGCAAGTCTATTGGTATTGGGTTGTGATGGAAAGCATAAATATAGAGGGGGGCAGTATGAAATTGTGTGACAGTATCAGCAGTAACATTACTCAGTTGAATTTAATTTTTTTCCTTACACGTTACTTCCCCCTTAGCCCCGCTCAAGTTTTGCATTTCACTCTCTTGCTTTTTCTCCCTCTCTGGTTTCTGTACAACTACGTATGGTTAATGAAAAGTCCTGCAGCCCATTAATCAACATGTCACCATCTGCTGCCCCTCCTCCCTCTGTCTGTCTGGCTCGCTCTTACGCGTTATCCTACCACCTTTTTATTATTATAACAGTTCACCCACACTTCCATTTCATTAATTTCTCACACCTCCATTGCTTTTTCTTCTGGTTTCCAGTAAATCTGAGTAAATGTGGTCAAGCATTATATTAGGTGACATTTTTGGACAAATTGGACTCCTTAAGCCCACTTTTGACATTATTTTGGCAAAACCTTAGCCATGAGCAGAAGGAGCTCTGCAAGAGTTACAAAAGGCTTTTGCCTCTAACTGGCAGTAACTAAATTAGCTCCATTACTGGGAACAGCAAGCTCATTGCTTGTTAAAGAGGAACTGTGGGATTTCCAATAATTTTAGTTCTCAACAACAACAAATTCTCAACAGATATAGATGTTGAACAATGAATTACTCAGACAAGGTTTTACGAATCTGTTTACGTTGCTCAGTTACAGCAGTTTTACACAACTAATTTAAACATATTGTCTATTTTCCAAAAAACAGATTAAGCTATTTATGTAACATCATCCCCTCTCTGTTTTAATTTATTTTCAATTTTTCACCAGCCTTAATTTTTCTGTCTAACAGGTGGAGGGGGAAAACTGTTCCAGCAGACCGTGGGGGAGGTGTGGCCTAGCCTGGACAAGTTGCCAGTCCATCACAGGGTCAGAAACATGACACAATTATGGTCATATTCACTCCTTAGGGTAAATTTAGAGTTTAAATTAACCTAATATGTTTCTTCTTAATGTTTTTTGGCAGTCAGAGGAAGCCAGATTACCCAGAACGAAACCACATTACAGGAGAGCATGCGGGTCTCACATTCTGTGAGGCAATGATGCTAATAAATACACTACCGCAGAGCCCACAATAAACTGAATATAAGAAGAAATAAGAAAAATAGCAACAAATATTTTAGTCTGACCTAAATCAGGCTTTTAAAGACGTGCCAATGTATCACTAATCAAACCTAAATTAGACTGCGTTTCTAAAAATTGGGATAACACATCCAGGGTTTGGGATGAAAGAACACACTGTCAATGGAGCATCCCCATTGTGTTTTACACGTGTAGATGTGTGATACAGCAGTTAAAGATCAAATCACTCCGCATTTATACATTCAGAAAAACTCAAATGGATCTTGGTAGTCTGCAGATGCATGTTTTGTCGTTTTGCATAATTGAAAAAAACAGTGAGGTGTAAGTGTCTATCAATAGATGAATCTCTAATGAAACCGCTCTCACATATATTTCAGATTTCTTTTGACTACTCAGCTTTATGTAAATCATCTGACAGAATCATCATTCAAGTAATTTCGAGGCAACATCTGTGCAGTGAAATTGGCTTTGCGGACATGCACAATGATCAAAGACAGAAAGTTAGAAGGAGCAGAGTGTCTTGAATATTTACCTACACACTCCACAGCTGTGTGTCATCTGACACACTTCAGTAACTTGATTCGGCTCTTGTGCATTTATAGTGGGACAAGAAAATTGATCCAGTTGAATGGAACAATTGCATTTGTTGATTTTCAAACTTATAATGTCAGTATTGGAATTAGTTTAGGGTTAAATCAGGGTCAGAGTTTGACTTTGGCCTTTAGCTGTGGTAGTGAGGGTTAAGGAATCTACTGTGTGGATATGCAGGGTCATCAGTGGCACTGAAAACAAACTAAAACACTTAACATAAAGGAAAGCCCCCCTCTAAAGTCTTTTATCAGGAATGAGAGCGATGGAATATACTGACAGCATTTAAGCATATATAAATGCCTATAAACAATCTCGGTGTACATTTTCTTTCCTTAAAGGTTTTTTTTTTACTCTTTTCTTCCTTTAATTCCTATACCTCTGGGAACATTTCCGGCATTTACAATGACATTAAGCCTCTCTAAAAGTCAGGGAGAACCCTCCTAATGCAGTCTAAACACCAACAACTAAGTCAAAGCTCAAAGCCTAATACAGATAATACTCTCAAACCACATACTGGCTTAACCATGCCCTAAGGCCTAATACCACCAAGAGACATAGTGAAAATAAACAGTTTCAGACATGGTCTATAGGAAGACGTCAAGGTAGTGAAACAGCTGCACAATACACTCGCAATTGAAGTTCCCATATGTATCGGTGTACAATATATATAAAAGTATGCAGGAGCCAAGAGTCAAATTAGCTTTTTTTTTTTAAGTAGAATGCCCTTTCACAACTCTTCTAACAGCTCCTGGACATTTTCCAAATTTCCAAATGTATCGGAGAAGAACAATAATGTGTTGGTTGATTCAAGTATACACCCTCTCTAGTTACAGCTGACACTACCTTAAATACATGATGAGACCATAAGAACTATCCATATATACATTCATCTAGTCGTTTTTAATATGATTGCTTTTGTGATAATAAAAAAAAAAACATGACCTGCATGTATTAATGCCACAGGCAATAGAACTTTCAGTATTTTATACTTTTGTTTTTTGTTAACAACTGGTCATTTTACTGACCGCCAATACAAGTTGCAACAGCTAAAAGTGAATAAAATCCAACGATAATCTTCAAATAAAACAGAATTCCGCCAAGGAGGTTCTTTTTTGATGGCCTATAGGATGAATTCTATGTCATTGCTTCCCATATGATCATTCAACTCTTAATGACCACTGCAGCGGCTTCGCCATTAACCCTAATAGAGAACATGGTTATAATCACCTGTAAGGATGCTATTGTTTCTAATTCAAATGCTTAATACATCTAACAGGAGGGGGGAGCTTTGATAGCACAATTTAGTTCCATACTGTGTGCACCAAGAATAAGAACCCTACTGTTGTTCACGTTTTATCTCCTGCTTTTTTTTCCACTACTCATACGATTACATATTCTCTGACAGCTTAATTAGAACAGGTGTGCATGGCTGTAACGTATACTGAATGTGTGAAAGGGTTCATTTAACATCGGGATTTCAGGAACAGCCTATGAGAATGTGTTTATGACAGAAAGAAATTGAGAGGGAGCATACCTTCAGATAGTCTCCATCTTGTAATAAGAAGCTCTCAGCTTTCAGACTGATTCCTTTCCCCTTTTCAGTCATGATGCGGTAGATGCACTCATGGTTGTTATCGTAGTTGGAGGGGAAATTTGGGGAGAGGAGAACGCCTTCTGGTCCTAGTGTGGAGGCTCCACACTCAGCTACAGGAAGAGAGTAAAAGTCAGTGGCACAGCTCTGCTCCCATACACAGCCCTTTCTATACAGTGTAAAGGACTCAAACATGATAAAGACAGATTGCAGCAAAGTGCAGAGCTAGTATAAACTAAAACATTTTAACCTCGAGAAATGTTAGTATTAAAATTAAGATAAACAGTCCATTTGGATTTTTTTTTTTACAGAAATAGGGCTGTCTGATTGAAATGCTTACATGACAAAAGGAACAAGCTTAGTGGACTACTGAGCAGTGCCACCATGCTTGGAAAGGAGAGAATGTGATGAACATTGGATATGATGCAGTTTTATTCAAAAAGGTTACTCAATTAATACAGTTTCTTTCATTCTAATGTTAAGATATGAAAATTATATGGGCAAAAAGTCGAAGCTACACCCAGCATTCATGCATCATGAATTATTCTAATATGAAATCAATATCATGGAAGTGGGTTTGAGAAAATTAGAAGATTATGAGGAGGAAGAACAGAGCTAGATGAGTGGGAAAAGAAAAAAAAATAGCAAATGAACAAAGACAAACTGCACTCTTTGGAAAATGTACATAAAGACATTAGAAAAAGGAATGGGGGAGAAACAAAAGGTGCAGTATAACCACTTCCCATAGAATAGCTAATACCCTAATTATCTACCCAAGAACTTTACAAACACAGAAAAAGAAAATTGAAAATAGATGGAGCAATAAAGACCAGAACATTTGGAAATAAGACAAAGGAGAGAGATGAACCAAGCGCTTGTTGCCAGCTGCTGTTGCTCAGTGCCCCCATAGTCAGGCTTGATCTCTTGACAAATAATACTATAATATCCTTTTCACTCTGCTCTTTTGGGGGCTTGAAATTTACCAGCAGCCAGCCATTAGAGTCTCGTAAATTACCAGCAGCATGTCAGAATTCACGGATGAGCTTCAAATTCCAGCAAATTACAACCTGCTGAAGGAAGTATTCCAAGGAATAAAACTAACACTCAACCAGTCAAATAACAGTAAATTCCCACCCTCATTAACTAAATACCTCTGAATTACACTCTGGGAAATGCTTTACTTTACTTCTCGACTTATCCCTAGTGTAAAAAAATGAAGGTAATTTGCACTTTTCACTTGATCACCACCAATCCCAGAAGATAACACCATAAGAATGCTACTGAAGGCTCACTTCTATGTGTATTACACAATACAAGTTATTTTCTTACTTTGTTTGAAGATAGACTCTTTGTGCATGCTGTCTGAATGTGAAGTCAAACTTAACACGATAAAAAGTACACTTTTTTGTTACTTATGTCAGAATCGATACTTTCTCATTCTTCCCACTCTCGTCTTACCTATACATCGCGGTAGTGCATTACTCCAGACTCTCCTGCCACCTCCAAGACAAGTGATCTTACTGTCACCCTCAAGTCTGTAACCTTGGAAACAAGAGAAGGCCAGGGAGTCACCAACTCCAAATCTAAATCCCATCCTTCTGCTGAACGCTGGTACACCAGGATCCTCACATGGCTCCAAGTCATACTCTATAAACCCAGGAGAGTTTACAAGGGTTAGACAAATAGAATATATGAACCCTAACAAAGCATATATCTAACTATGATCTCATATTATATTTCCATTGGAATATCTTTTTAGAGATTACAGTGTCAACTATTTCCTGAGGGAGTCAACTTATTCAGACAAAGAGATAAATGTAACTTTTGTCTTGCTTATTAAAAAGTACTTGAACAGTTAGATACCAATTGTGAAGTTTCATTTAAAAAAAATATTACCTGACAAAAAGATCTACAACAAATTCCAATAATACATTTGAAATCCAATAAACTGTATTGTTTATGTTTAATCAAAACTTCTTTACCATGTTATTATTTTTCTCAAGTTTATATTGTGCCTAAGACAATCATCAGAATAGTAATCATAAAAAAGGCATTTGAACATACAGCTTAGCTTTTAACGTTCTTATATTAACGATTCACCTTTCTTTTTCTTTTTTCCACAAACAATTTTAAAGGAAATGTAAATGGATATGACACAAAACAAACATTTAATCAAGTCTTTCAAAATCACGAATATACATTTTTTTATATTCATATTCCACTGAGCGTTTGAGAGAATTAGGCCTATGCAGTAAACAGTGCTAGCATGAGCCTAAAAGACAGAAAAATCTTTACATCATGCACGATATCTACCTATGAATGGAGTTCTTACCCGAAAAAGTAATGTTAAATCCTTCATAGCTCATCGAAAAATCTGAAATGAATCGTAGCTGCGCGCTGAAGTTCCCATAGAGTCCAGCCTTAACACTGGGGGGCAGTACGGAGCCGGTAAGTCGAGCCACCGGAACCTGGAAATTGCCGTCTTCTGTGATGGACAGGTAGTCATGGTTCCCCTCCAGATGGAAAGTGTGGAAAACCAGATGGACTCCTGGATGAATGGATGGTAGGACAGATGGATGAATGGATGAATGGATGAATGGGAAAATGATTATACGAATGGATAGACAGACAAGCAAAAACAGAGTTAGACACGGATACACAAATGCACCAAATCAACACAGCACACAAATGCTCAAAAATACACATTGCTAAGAGGCTTCAGATGTTTACATTAATCATTTATTTGCGCAGTGAGCTGTTTCATGATTAACACATTCATAATCATGTCAAGCCAAAACGAACAGTATTTTCCCATCTACAGTTAGTGTTTGATTGTGTCTTTTTTTGAGTGTTGTTACCTTTCCCATGTGATACTTCTATAGTCCATGTGCAGTTGAGGGAATTTGGGTAGAAATCAGGAAAGCCAGGAGAGAGAATGGTTCCACTTTTACCAAAAACATACCCTCCACATAGGGCTGATGAAAAAAAGAAGACAAAGATTAGATCAAAACAAAATATGCTTGCATCACCTGGCTAGAAACCTCAACAAATTCAAGAATTGAAAGTCTTCATTATGCCTGCAGAATTGCTACATAATACTCCATTCATTTAGTCTAAATATCCAATCTTTCTTGAGGCCTTTTGAATTTTAAATTCTGTGTGATTTCAGATTTTCTTAACCCTGAGAACTAAGCCTGTTGTTGACGAGATGTTTATTTTTTTCTGCCGATATCAGAAGATCATTGGGGAGTTACAAAGGAGGAATGGTTTACACAAACTAAATCACCATTAAAAAAGTGTATCATAATAGGTAAGGGCACCAAACATTTGATTTCCTGAAAATAGAGATATTGCTGTTTGTGTAACCAGACACCTCAGGTCTAAAACTGATGCAGAGAAACGAAACCCACTATAGTAATGTAATAGAGAGTAAAAGGGGCATCACAGCATTAGAGACTGCTGAACTAAAATAATATGTGGGCTCTTTGTTTCTTTCTCACACTGCCTCCATCGCCTTGAATTCTATTCAGTTCAATTCAGGGATATTTAATTAAATCAAAGTGCTTTAAGGTTTGGAGGCACAAGAACCAGTCTTTTTGCTCAGCTGTGAAACCAACGGATCTGATCACGAAAACAGAAACAAAAGCTTTTCCTCCCATCTGATGTTTTAAGATGTATATCTAGAGAGAAACACAGTCTTAGAAATTACCTTAGAAAAAGATATGATGCTTTATTGAAAGGCTTATAAACCAAATTCTTTTCATTTTTACCGTTATAAAGACAGCAACACGGTCTCTCTGCCAACCCATGGGCCGATTTCCATTTCGACTCTCTGTCAGTCACTTCAAGAACTGTGTTCTCTATAGCCGCATCCAGCTTTCTCTCATCAGGTGTGAGCAATTTCTGACCGAAGGAACTTGGTACATAGAAGCTTGTGTGTATGCATATACATATTGATGCACAATGTAGCTGCCTGTGGAACTGTTCTAAATAATTTTTGTGGGAGAAGAAAGATGCTCATGAAAAACAATGATCTATTCGATGAGATATGCATGGAAAGGACATCATGAGGCAGAGGTGGACAGTTTTATGTAGATCTCTACAATTATATTCATGTGCAATTCAAAAAGAAGCGAGGTACCTACAGCATATAGAGATATTACACAAGACCTCAGCTATAACGTCTGCTACCTTCAGAAAGTTCTGTATCTATAATTATCTTCCTCTTAGAGAGAGTCTTGGCATTTTTTTCCACAAGGGTAACTGTGACTTTGGTCACTTCAAACAAGTTGTTGTCTTGGCACAAAGTGAAAACCTTTAAAATGTCACGGTGCTCTTTCGGTATTCTCCCTGACACATTAAAGAGCACTCTCACTTCTGAATGATCTATTTGATGATTCTGCTGACCTGTGGGAATAAGATGAGCAGTTTGGGTTCAACAGATTTTGTAGCATTACTAACAGGGGATAGAATCCATATGCTCAACTTTTCCCAACGCAAGAATAATTATGTGTGGTGGCGCTGTAAAATGGCTTGCATTAGGTATCAACTCTTGTGTCAAAGGGCAAGTGTGACCTGAAGGAATTCCTAGAGATTACTTTTCTTCTCTTAGCCGGTACAGATAGAAGCTGTTTAGGGCTCCTTTGACTGTATTTAGTTGCTGTCCAAGCCAAAGTAATTAAATAATCATTTATTCTATTACATAATAAAGCAAGGTATTCACTGATCAATGGAACTGCTAACTTACCTGACATGATTTCTACATTTAAGATCTTAACGGGTGCTTCAGAAATTTTCTGTCTTGTTATGCAACAGCTGCTTGGTGCTGTGTTGAAAATTTAAATTTTAAATAAACTCACTCATGGAGACATCTTGCCTTTGGGTTTCAAACTGGATTTTTTCCAATTGGCATTTCAAAATAGACACAGTGCATTCGTCTTCTATGAGTCTTCTAGAGTGAGTTGCTGGGAAACCTATGGCCATTAACCTAGATCATTTCACTGAGGCTGAATACCCAAATTCAGGTCAAAATACAAACAAATAACTTTGGAGCGAGGACTGACTGTACAAATCACAAGTAGTGTAACAACAATAAATAAAAAAAAAACAACCAAGACCATGGCAACACTGTCAACAACCCATTCTCTAAAGTCATCTACCTACTTATCTATTTTTCCAAGTTTCCTTTACTTCCAGGAAAAAGTGTAAAGAAAAGCAAGAACAACACGTATATGGATGACAACATAATTTATTAGACTAAAATTCCTGGTGATTTGATTTAAATGCAGCCCTATTTGAATAATTCAACTTCATATTGCGCATTGTTAATACATTTAATAGTATCTATGAAGAACTAACTAAAGGAAGATTGACTATCCTCCATTTTCAGTGGCACTGTGCTGATAAAACTCCACTGCATTGCTACGTTGCTGCAGGATTTCTCACAAAGATAATATTCTATACTAATATATACACCCATCTAAAGATGAGAAAAAATAACAATAAAAAGAATGCTTTGCAGTTTTTAAAGTCCAGCTATGCTCAGTATCAAATGTCTCCAGCAATCAGCGTATGGATTTTCACATCCAGGCTTCATTTGCACACGTTGTTTGTCCAGTGTTTGCTGACCCACTAACTTAAACCCCTGTGACAATGCAGCGTTGGCAGTTACTGAGCTGAAAACTGAAGGGAACATCTGAGAAAAAGAGCCAACTGCAGTTATCGCAAAACAAATGGCAGCAATCATAAATGTTTCACCATATATCCACACATGGTGTAATTTAACCTGATTCGGCGATGCTATATTAACTGTTTTTTTCAGTTACTTTTCAGTGAAAAATAAACTGATGACACGAAAGAGTCTCTAAATTATGAAAATGTTGTGGCTGTCCCTTGCTTCAGTCTAGAGTTAGTTTGATAAGCTTCAGTTATTAAGCTTCCACCATCATTGAGCAAAGTTGGGTCCAAGAATAAATTTACATGACGTTAACTTCAATAGTGTAGGATTTAGTATGGCTTTAAATAAGTGTATTAACAAATCTCCTCTGCAATGTTTTGGATTAGAGTGGTATTTTTTTGGGGGGGGGATACCACACTGACCTACTTTGCCTGTGTGTTTGCAAAATTCACAAAATATTTATTTTCTCATGACAAAAGTTTGCAATAATTTTTAACCTTTTTTAAAATGACCGCACTCTCTGATTAGTCACAGTACATATAGTAAAGACAGCTACAGGCAAAGGACCAGACGTAAAGATTCTCACCATCGCAACTGGGAAGAGCGTGACTCCACTGATGAATCTGCTCACATACTATTGGGTCTTGATCACTAAGCGTGTATCCTGCGTCACATGTATAGGAGACTTGCGAACCAATGGAAAAGCTGCTGCCATGACGACGACCATTGACAGGGATGCCGGGATCAAGGCATGAGTCCGACTCCATTTTCACACCTGCAAATGACACCCAACGAACACAACAGAGTCAACAGGGTGAGCGCGTGTGTCTGAAGCAAGTGTCTGTAACGGCCAGTCTTACTTTCATATCTGATGCTGAAGCCTGCCGCAGAGCGGCTGTTGTCAGTGGCGAACAAGAGGAACAGGAAGTTGGATGTGGAAATCAGGAAATGAGGCGCTTGGGTGCCATGGTATTCTCCGATCAGTGGGGAGGATGCTGAGGGGCCATCCCTGATTTCCAGCGTGTCATAGTTGACCTCTGTCTGAAACCTGGACAAACATGAAAACAAATAAATAAAGATAGATATGAAACCATGCAAAAGTAGTAATATAGATAATAATGAAAAAAACACTGAATTATCAAAAAGGTCCCATTCAATCAAATATGACCTAGCCTGTGAACCAGATGTGTGTGGAGTGCAGCTTTTTACAAAGAAAGGGATTCCTTACAGATGATGATGATAGCTTGACCGTTACATCATATCCTAAAAAAATCAATTTCTGCTATAATGGATTCAAGCTACGGTGCATCTCTCATGTAAAGATTAATCAAATACTGCAGCAAAAACTTCATTTGTATCTGACTCTTTTATTACCTCTGAGAACTGCATTAGTGAGATATTGAATCACTAAATGATGTAACACCAAACAAAAACTTTTTTTTTAATCATATGGTTAATGACAATATTTGCTAAAATACCTACTTGTCAAAGTGTATCTTCACCGCATGGTCTGTCTGTGCTTCAATCACCCACTGGCAGCTCAGAGAGTCTTTATAAAAGGAAGGCCAACCAGGAGACAGCACAACGCCGGTATTAGCTGTGAGATGGCCTCCACAGGGAGCTGGAGGGAGACACAGAAACACACACAAAAAAAACACAACCAAGAATGAATTAATCATATTTATAGAACAGTGTTATGGCACAGGCGCAAGTCTCGTTTTTCATGAAGTTTGCATATTTTGCTTATGTTCAATTTATTTTTTGCACTCTAATCCTTTATGGATTCCCTAAGTTCGCACTAAACATTTACCATCAGAAATTATGTTGTGCCAATTTTGTGCTACCGTAAACAAATTTGAGACACTCTTATTTGAAAAGCCCTTATTAATTATAGCTTGGTCATTTATAGGGGTTGACTTAATGTGTGTCTGTGTGCAAATTGAATATTTTAGAAAAAGGAAAAACTTAATTTTCCAGAAATTCTGAAGACTGCAGGCTGCAATGCTTGTATCCACACCAGTGTACAGTTCATAGATCAATGTTGACTGTTTAAAAGTAAGAATTAGCTAATCTTTAGTTTTAGTTTCTGTTCTTTTCTTTTTCAGTTTTGTAGATCTACCACCATGGGTGAAAAATATAGTCTTAGAAATTTTGGATCGGCATATTAACTATTGTTATTTTCAGTATACAATTTGCAAAGATTCAGTTAAAATACCATAGCCATTCCTCTTATAAGTCTAGTTTTCAAGAAAAACAACAACTTTTAAACACATTTTGCATCCTTATTCTGCAATACATGTGGCGGATCCACAACAAGATCATTCTAGATACAAAACATAATTAACTTTTCTTTCCAATTGGGAGGGATAATTTTTCCCATACTCCAGACTTAATAAGGTGACCACCTTCTTCAATTTGATCATCTCCTCCATCCGATTTATTAATATGCAATATTTGATAATGTCATTTAGGAAATACAATCAAGATACAAGATGGGGAATGACATAAAAATAGCTCACATCCCAGCACAACCCAGCTGCCTAAAATAAGCTTGTGAAATCACCACACTTTAATTATTACTTTCACATTTTAGCTCATCTGAAATTCTGTAGAGAGAACCTACAGAACAAACTAGACAAAAAGCCCCTTCGGTTTCTATGAATTTGAACCAGGAACCCTTCAGTGCAAACAAACAAACCACTGTGCAGACCCCAGTCTATCGCTAAAAGACTATTTAACAACTCTACTTAAGCAATAGCCATTATGTATAATGCTGAGGCACTTTTAAATACTCCATCATAGCTATACATGTAGTAAAGAACTTGTCAGTGTGCCTCTGTGTGTATATGTTTACCTTCACAACGTGGAACAGCTGCAGACCAAACCACATTTCCATCCTGAATGATACAAGTCACTTGATCTGAACCCTAGAAAGCAACAATAGCATGTAAAAAGCTTAGCAACTTAAATTATAAACATTCCTTTTTACCCACAGCCATCAATATAACGGACATATATGTGGATGTATATGTATTAAACATTCTTTTGTGTTTATGAATTTAGATTATTACCTGTGTCCTTATGAATCCTTGATCGCAGCGAAAAGCCACTGAGCTACCAAGCTGAAACTGGTCACCGTACCTTTGACCATTGACAGGGACCCCTGGGTCATGGCATTCATTCTGACCAAATGCTGCAAAAGAAAATAACAAGCAAAACATTCAAATAATACATAAATAGATAAATAAATAAATAAATGGGGGACTGCATCAGGTTTCTGCAAATGAGCAGAAAGAAAATGTGAAAGAATTAGGCACCTGACACATTGTATTTCAAATATGTCAGGTGGTTCAGCATTTAGTACGTTATTGTTTGACCAGTCCAACACAGTATTTGATTTTTTTTTTCCATGCCAGAAATGTGGCTATTGTTAGAGAAAAAAGTGGTTAAACTAGTTCTATATTGCTGTCAGTGAAAGTGACATCTTTACAAATATGTATATATGGAAATGAAATTATCCCTCTGTGATTTCAGCCCTGTCATGTTTGGTCTTTATTATCAGCACTCTGGAGATTAACCTGATCCTACCTAGAGCACACACCCAGTGATTGGACATGTTTCAGGTTGATTAGCTTCTGATGGAGAGGAAATGAGAGTGGATTGGAAAAAAAGAAGGATTAGAAAAAAATGTGATAGGTAGACAGAGAATCGTGAGCCTTTGACAGCAAAGAACATATTTGATAGCAAAGACAATATTAAACCAATCTGTTAAACTAAAGAAAGGAAAATCACAGTCAATGGGAGTAAAAAAAAGAAAAAGATTTCAGTCTACATAAAGGGCCTGAAAATGTACTTGTTTCAATGAGAATGTATTTTTTTCAATCAATTTATGAGCTTGGGCTCCCTAGGTCCTTAAGCAGCATCGCCCTGTAAGGCCGTTCCACCAAGCAGCATCTCCCTTTCAGTGGACGAATGGAGTTCAAAGCCACCCGCTCAAGAGAGGTGATGATGTACAGGGACTCGGCGGATGCTGAGGTGGCATCGGTAGGAATCCTTGTCAATAGAACAGCGATATAGAACAGCAAGACCCAGGTTGCTCCGAAGCAGTCAGTCACCTTTGTGAGAGCGGGGCAGAAGGCAAACCACCAGCCCAATTCCTCTGGAGGGCTTTCCCAGTTAACATAGCTACCACTTCACTCCGCCCAGATATGGCGTTAACATCGGAGAGCACCACGCAAGTGGTCCTACTGGAACTGACCGTCCAATGGGAGGACCGGATTGGGTCGCCCGGCTGAGGTTGTTTGATTATTAAAGACCCGAAACACCCCGTCACCCTGGGTTAATCACTGATGATGTGTTCAAGTATTACCGTAAGGTTGTATTATAACTCTGAGAGAAGATTGTGCCTAAATAAAAAAAAATTAAACATGATATTTAACAATAAGAATGGAGATTAAGAGAGGAGAAAGAGGAAATATTAACGGGAAAATGAGAACCGTCAACTTTATGTTGAACATTAAATACTTTTGTCTAATTTCAAGAAATATACCTCACTCAAAAGAGCATCATAACTATGTGTAACTGCACCTGTTATGTGCTCTGTATTTGACTTGAAAAAAACAAATATGTTCACGAGCATGACACTAGATTTTTTTGTTCATGTTCTTATTCTTAACTAGCAACAGGCCTGGACAAAGCCTGTTTTTTTTAATCTAGCTTTCCCACATAGTGCTGTTACTATGGAGACATGTTATGCATACTATGACAATAAAATATACTCTTAGTGAATTTAGAATAGCTGTTATGTTCATGGCCTGCATTTGACTCCTAATTATCTGCCTTTAGCATTCTTGACTGTCAATATTCATATTTAATGTTTATAATATAATTCATTCAAAGTGAATTATATTCAGATATTGAAATGGGAAAACATGGCCTACGTTAAATAAGAAATACCTGTGGAATTTATTTGATCAAATTGCATTTTTTAAACATTTTTAAATTCTCAACCCCAACATTATATGGTAAAGGATTAACATGCTCCTTGGCATTTGGACATTAGATTTCTAATGACAATTAAATCAATACACACCAAGACGAGCATAACAATTATTTGTCTGTTTGGACAAATTTACACCATTGTGTTCATTATTTGTCTGGGGATTACAGGGTGGGTTTTTTGTATCAAATATGCTGAGGATAAAAGAGCATTCAGTCCATTCAATTGTTAAATGTCACCCCTAAAGGAAGAAGTGGAGACAAGGTCATTTAGTAAGCAGTGTGTGAAATGATGCAAAGCCGTATGGTAATCATTGAAAATGAATCAGAATCAGTCATGCATAACTAGTTCGGCTTAGTGCAGGTAAATACACGGGCTGCAGAAGTTGGGCTGTGACTGACAATGGCACAGAAGAAGGGAAAATAACTGTCCTCAAATTTCCCAAAAAATATCTCCATATATGTTTGGTTGCAGAGTTTTCAAACTATGTGTTGGGCCTATCCAGGGTGGGCCTATCACAACAATTTCAGACACGGCAAACAAAAGTAAGGATTTATTTTCTTCTTGTTAAAACAACAACAGAATAATTATTCAAAAGCTGTGGAGATTTAGGCCACAACTGTTATAAGTAGTATATTTGTGCTCAGGTATGGGATTTCACATAATCATGATTTTTTTGTAATCAGAGAACTTGGCTTTACTTTAAAGTCATGTATAAAAGTATTTGTAGCTTGCTTTTTAAATTAATTGAGAAATTATACAGTAGAATTAAGTGATTACAATTCACTAACTGTCCAGGGTGTACCCTTCCTCTTGCCCATTAAATACTGGGATAGGCTCCAGTCCCCCCGGACCCCATTAGGGAATAAGCGGTATTGATAATGCATGGATGGTTGGATGAATTCACATCAATTTATTGACAAAATGTATCTGTGTGTGATTTGTGGACAGTTGAACCCAATCAGAGGACTAACATTTACAGCATTATTGTCATAATTTCTTAACTCCTTAACTTAAAATTGAAAAACAATCTGTGTTTTATTTTATAATTTGCTCAGTTTTGAGGACTCAAAGTATCGGTATGGGAGTGACTGAAAATTGGACTTCATTCTAGGCTCTCATTGGTCAGAAACGGAGGGAAACTGGACAGACCAAGTCAAAAATGAAAATTTGGTCTCATGCAAATGAGTGAAGGCATCTTATTTATGTTTAGCTCAAGTCATTGTTTGTAAGTTACGTGGAGGAAGATGCTCTTTCAGCATTGACTGCCCATGAGTACAGAAACAGTATGACCAAGACGACATTCAATTTAGCCATTATAAAAGTTTTTTGTATCAGGGAATTATGAAAAAAAGGATAAAATTCTTAATCAGGTCTGAATATAAGGCAAATGGATCATTAAATAGGCAGGGAGACGCACAGAAACAAGTTCATTCGTATACATACTGGTATAGCTGATGTTGAAGCCTTTCCCGGTATTAGAGTGATCGGACTGAAATTCCAATCTCATAATGTGCCCATTTGAGGCGATCTGTGAGGGGACATCCTTCCCAGAGAATGTTCCGAATGTTGTTGGTTCAGACAGACCTAAAAGAACATAGTTTGAAAAGCATTAGAAACATGAAAAATGTATGCATGGATAAAAGCAGGTTAATGGAGAACAAAGAGGTCTTTCTATAACTATACATAAATAAATATATATATATATATATATTTGTTATTTTTTATATATTTTTTATTTTATTATTGTCGTATATTTACCAAGACATGTCTTGAGCCTTGCATTTCCATACAATTCTGGCAACATGGGAGGAAGTACTGCTGAAAGTACCCATCAACCCCTCTTGGGAGCATGATTGCAATGACTTTAAGGCATCACTCTAGCCACTAAAGTAGTCCCTGTGTAGCAGTCGAGTGGCCCTGAAACTCCCCACTGGCCTCCATAGCTGTAACCATGCATCACCTTTGTTCTGTCTGACATATTTGTGTCTCAACTTCAGACCATTTACGGCGACAAATTGTAATACAGGAAGCATACACTCTGCTCTTGTCGTGGTCCCCAGTGACCAACCATAAACAGAAGATGCAGTGGATAGTGCAATAAAATTCCAAAGGGATGCACAGTGGAACCCAGTAGGCCCATATAAGTTTACGCATCAAGAATATATAATAAATGAAAAAATGTGCCATCCCCAGTTATGGTAACAAGATACCAGAACTAGAGGAAACTGTGAATTTATAGTTGTGACAGGCAGAAATAAATAGATTAACCACAAATGGCACAATAATGGCTGACAAAGGTAAGACTAAATGAGAGTATGGAATAATATATCTGGTATTGATTGAATCTGATTAAAGTTATCTAAAACCAACTCTTTGGGATTAATGTAGACTACAGTAAGTCTGGTAGGCAACTCAGTGCATTAAAATTACGATAAACTCTTAAAATGATCACAGAACTATCCTTCAGTGTAATATTGCTTTATTCTGATTTAAATTGTATCCATGTGCAACAATGAAATGACAAAAACATTAAAAGTGTACACCTAAATTACAATTTTCTGTGTAAAATTTTGTAGTTTTAGTGAATACTACACGCTGGGACATCTTTTGATTAAAAAGTGATTTTTTTATTTAGTTTAAAGGAACTTCATTTAGCGTATTACAAGTACAAGTGTGTAAAGAAATGTTTTAAGTCACATCCATATCTCTTTCCATGGAAAGATGGGATTTGTACTTGCCAAGTATGAAAATATCTGAAAATAATTAGGTGTTAATACCAGTTTGCATGGACATTTTGAGTACTGATGAATCTGGAAAAAGATTATCAAGTAGTGCGCTAAAGCCTCATATTTCAAAAAGTACATTAAAAAATGCTGATCACATTTCTTCGATGTGATACATAGCTGGATAAGCCGTGTTTTATCATCTGTCAAATGAAAAAAGATGCCAATTAAAATGTTTATGATAAAAACCTACCTACATTTCTTTTGGGTTGCATAGGGTTGGGCAGTGTGATGTATGTGAAATAATGGTGTGTGTATAACACTATTTGTTATCTTAATCACTACAGGTAATGAATAAGTCAAGCAAAAAGCTGCTTAAAATGTCTCTGTATAGTTGACGATGGATTAACATTTTCAGAAGCAAATATTGCTGGAAAAACTGGTTGCGTAATTCCCTCTGCCCTTTATCCCTCTCTATGCTCTAAATTGTGTTTTTTTTATATCTATTATCACTGGGTTATACTTGTATATATTTAAAGGGCAGGTGAAACCAAGTGAATGCTGGACCATGTCTGTCCATTATTTCAGAAATTATCCCAAGTTGTGTCTGCCAGTATGTATTTTTCTGCTCTCTCAGTTCTGCTGTTGCTGAATGCGCACGTCTTCCCTTTGTGCTCAGTCTGGAGTTCAAGGTTGAAGCGTATATGCGGTCAGTGGGTCATTTAGGAGTGCTAAAGCCACATTTTGCTTACTCTTTTCTGTAAAGAGCGAGAATTTAAATGATGTTAGTTTACTTTTGTTTAGCATCTTTAGTAATTTTGTTTTTTACTGGGAAATGTTTCTGTAGTCGAATTTGGCGACGATAAATTTGTGTCTTTTTGCAGTTTGATGAAAGAGCTCAGCAATGCTTATGTAATAATGCAAAGTTCACAGAGGAGGCCCAAACTAGAATCCATGAAGATATGTGTCAATTAAGTAAGATTGTAACATTCTTCTTTTTATCTGTAAAAGGCATTACAAAAGTAAAATCAGTATTAGAATTTGTATAATTACTACAAAATGTATATGATCAGTGTCTGTTTTTTACAATAACATAACAGAATAAAAAATCATATAGAAAAAGGTGATGTTAGAACTCTGGATTAAATTGAGTTAAGCAACAAAGTGGATGAGAAGTATAGTGTTTATGTGTATGTGCATGTCTTTTTCTTCTGGGGAAAGTCAACTTTACTAATTCAGTCCTGCACTGCTTGTCAAGGGACAAGGAGAGGAATAAAACAGTGAAAGCTTGGACATGATAATTTCCTTTTTTTTTTTAAGTGAATCAAGAGAAACACACTTCATAGCCACCATATTCTATTTCCTACCTCCTGCAACCCTGCTTTGAATAAGCGGATATTGAAAACGGATGGATGGATGATGTGAATTTTTTTTGTTTTATTCAGTGCAATGTGCTGTGTTTTTATACAATGGATTTTTCATTCATGTAGCCTAATTGAATACATTTAGAATACATTTAGAATTTTTTATTGAGTTTAAATGGGACACTTTCATGTTAATATTTAATTTTACTGTTCTATCTTTCAGTTAAAACAGTTAAGAAAAGTAAAGCTATAGGTGTTAATAAAACCTTTGGTCAATAGAAATAGGATTTTTATACAGCTATTAACAAATGTGTGTAACAGGGATGGCAAAGTTAAAAATTGTATAATGTTAATCAATATTTATCATCATTATCATTTACCATACATTTTTAACATGCCAGGGGGTTTTAATGCCCCCAAAAAACTAAAGACATTGAAGAAATGTTTTTACTTTAAAAATCTCTCTGCATGTGCGGTCTTGAAATGCAAATAGAATAAAGGATATACTCAATATTGCAATTTAACTATTCAGAGCAGAAAGATCATTTAGAACTGAATTGGAGAGTATCTAATTCATGGAATTGTTTACCCTTTCGGTGCTTTGAACAGGTCACTGACCGAAAAATTCTCAAATACCAAATAGATTAATTAAACCTTTTGGAGGTTTCTTGTAGCTTATGTCTTATTACCTTTTACTGTGTGAGCATTTTTAAACACTGCAGTCAATATTAAAAGGCTTGTAAATCTATCATAATTTCATTACAGCATGCTCTGTCTATCATTTATGGATGCAGACAGACAGTGACATCAGCCATCCATTACTGGTCCAGAATACTGTCACATCTTAAATGAAATACTTCAAAATGATTTTGATTTGGCCGCTCCAAAATAAATGATCACATCTCCAATGTCAGTTAAATACTTTAAACTTCATCCAGCCAGGCAAACAAAGATATTATTATTCAGCATTTTAAAATAAATTCTTATCATTACCTTCATCTTTAACCACCAACCAGTCGAACTGTGGCTCCAGGTCAAAGTCAGAAAAGAGGAGGTGTATGCGGCTTCCTGGTTCAGAGATAATCAGCCATACACAATTCAGGTTGTTGCCGTACTCCTCTGGGTAGTTTGGAGATAATACAGTCCCCGATGGAGCTGTGAAGTTAAAGAAACAGGAGACTACAAAGGAGATGAAAGAAAGGAGAGACACAAAGTTTTCTTTAAGTGCATAAGAAAAATATTTGTAGTACAAATTTGGGAGTAAAAAAAAAAAGATATTAAGTTTTAATTACAAGTGAACATATGGTACTTACAGACACAACTGGGTTTGTTCCCAGACCACTGGTTATTGTGCTGGCACGTGATGGTTTTTTCTCCCACAAGTTCAAAAGCCGCCTGGCAAAAGAAGGTCAAAACATCTCCATGCTGAAAACGGTCGCCACTACGACGGCCAAATGCTGGCACCCCGGGATCACCACAACTTCCCCGTTCGATCTCTGTAATGAACAGACCAAAGCAGTTGACATAACATGTTAGCATGTGACACTTTCTGTCCATCTCAGCATTAAGAGAACATGGCTGAAATCCTGTTACTTCCTTAGATTAGACCTTTTGGAGTAAATATTCTGTGAAGAGGCATCAGTAAACGGATCACATGAAGGGACAGGTTCAAGTATCTTAACCAAAACCCCCAAAAAAGTATATTAACCAGAAAAAAGCAAATATTACACATTGGCTTGAAAACGGTGTTGTTCAGAAAGTGAATTGAGAAAAAAAAGCAAATTCACAAAGAAAGATTCACAAAGCCTGTCTGATAATGGCGATCAGTCATCAAAACATATTTTCTTGCCTTATGACCAAGAATACCGTGCATAGTTTTTAGACTACTGTGTTTGGAGCATTAAAAAAGGTCCCTCCAAACCTGTTTCAGAGCTGTGACTTCAGAAAGGTGGATATTAAAACCTCTTTAAGCGAAAAGAAAAAACAGGAATGAATGAAAAACATGCGTCGGCTTCTTAAATAAATTAGCTGTGTTAAGAAGTGATGAAAAAGCTGCGAGCAATTCATCTAATTGTTTCCCTCCTCACAGTTAATTGTCATCAGGATAATTGTAGTGTAATTGAGGTTTAATTGTGAACGGGGAAAAAATAAGTTGAGCTGCACAGGTTGATGTAAACACACACTAATCCTTCCATACTCCCGAGGAGGAGAAACATACAGAAACTCATGCAAGCATCTGTGAAATGATGTTGAATATTTACATAATGACTCCTCTCACTTCATGTGGACATATCTTCATTTATCCTTCCAAACTGAGTCTGTAATGTCCACCTTGATCCGTTCTGACTTTTACTTTCTAAGTCTGGTTCAACATACCATTCCTTGACATGTCTGCCATGTTAACAGTATTTACT